GCGCACCAGCAACGCGACCCCACCCACAGGGACCCGCCCACCTGTGGCGGTACCCCCGCATCTGCGACCTCCCCCATCGCTAGCGCGGCCCCACCTACGACGACCCCGCGTAGGTGCTCCTGCCTACACACGCCCCCCCCGCCAGCCCCTGCCCTTTCCCTGCCCCTTTCCCTGCTCCTGCCCCTAGCCGCGCCCCCGCCCCCGCAGGCCCTCCGGTGCGCTCGGGCCCCGCCCGTCACTGCCCATTGGCGCTGGCGCCAGGCGGGGGCGCGGGCGGGGCAGCAGTTCCGAGTCGGGCGCGCGGGCAGGGTCCCATTGCCTGCCGCGCACCCGGACTAGCGACTACCCTCGGCCTCCTCGCCATGGACGCGGACGACTCCCGGGCCCCCAAGGGCTCTTGCGGAAGTTCCTGGAGCACCTCTCCGGGGCCGGCAAGGCCATCGGCGTGCTGACCAGGCGGGGATGCTCAAGGTGCGCGCCCCCCTCCAGGCGGCGAGGTCGGGACGGATGGAGAGAGGGAGAACAGGGCGAAGGGGATGGGGGATAGGGCAGAAGAGGGGGAGCGATGGGAGGACCCGGGGAAAGATGGGGAAGCGATGGGAAGAACCGGGGAGAAGAGCGGGGAAGCGATCGGGAGAACTGGGTCGAAGCCTGTGCCCGGGAGCGGCAGGCAGGGTACCTGCGGGGCAGCGTGAACCGTCAAGGCAGCCCCGGGGTCCTTGCCGGGTGGGGCGGAGGAGGAAGGACATGGCGGTAGGAACCTCCATCGAAAATAGTGAGCTTTCCATCCCGTCCGGTTTATGTTTTAAATTGAACCTGGCAGAGGGGTCGCCTGGAGCGCCTCGGGGTCGTTCTGCCTCTGAGCTGTAGGACTGGGCCGGGCTTCCCCTCCGAAGCGGGTACAGCGCGATCACTTCCTAAGTGGCCCCCGCCCCCCAACTCCGCCCCACGCCACCCCCAGCATGTCGAGGAAGAAACGGCCGGGTCCCGCACCTCCTGTGCCTCGGCCCCGCGCGGCGTGGGGCGGGGTCCCGGCTGCTGCAATGCGGAACGGCGGGGGTGCTCTGGGTTCCCCGCCTGGCGTCTCCGAGGCAGTCCGGCAGCCCCTCGCGTTTTCGCTGGAAGATTTAAAAAAGGGTTTCTTGTGCTCGCATGTGCTGTCGCCTTCCGGCTCGTGACAAAACCGAAAACTAAAGTGGGTCCCAGGCCCTCCCCGCCAGCCTCCGCGGAACGGGAAGGACCAGGAACGGGGACTCCGGGACGTCAGCGGCGCCGCAGCGCGGGCTCTGGGCTTCCCCTGCCCTGTAATGTGGAAGGGCTCTCCAGGAGGGGGCCCGAGCCTGGCCCACGACGCGGGCGCCCGGGAGGACATTTAACATTGAAGAGCGGGAGGTGATGGAGAGTGGCTTCCCCAGGCCCCGGGTGCACGTAGGGGCGCCTGTGGCCCGGATCAGGGAGGGTGAGGCCTTCTCCGTCAGGTAGACTTGTTAAATCTATCTGAAAGTCACAGATAACTAAGTATCAAGTCGTCACAGATATTTTGTATCCTGAATGAGATGGCTACGGAAAACATGAAAACATCGTTACTGGTTTACGTGCATGATGCATCCAAAACATTGTTACCTGCACAGTGGCAGCACTGATATTTGTGGGCTTTTGAACGTGTGGACTGGAGTGTTAAGAGCCCTTCAGAGTCATGACAGTAGTTTGATTTGAATGTTCTTTTCTTGGCGAATAAATGCTGTACATTGAATTTACCCAGAAAACTAGGAAGGTGAACCCACACGAAGGACACAGACCTGTGGGCTGCTCCAGGCACCATTAGGGCGTTGCGGGGCCTGAGCCATGGGCTTCCCGTTCAGCCTCTTGAGAGCCGTGACGGCGTCTCGGTTCTGCCTCACACTGGACAGGCTAGTTTCATATTCTTGTTATGGTTCCGAAGCTACAAGCGGTTGGATTCTGCGAGTCGCTCTCTGTCTTCCTCCTCCAGCTGCTTTCAAATGGGTCGTCTTTTTTTAGAACTGCTTTTTAAGCAGTGATTGATGGGGTGAGTTGTAGTGCTGTCCTGAACTGCAGAGGGAGCGCACTGAGGAACCTGGGTTTTGATGCTGTGCACATCAGCTGAGTCAGCCAGCCCAGGGCCCTGTCAGTCCCATTATTAAGCTTATTTCTTTGCTCTTCGACGCCTTAAAAAAAAAAGCAAACTCCTGCTTGCTGTCACTGGCTGTTTGGCAAATGGGTGTTTACCCTGGAAAGAGGGGACATTTTGTCCTCTGGACCGTCTAAGGCGCCCTTTAGTGACGTGGTCCGTTTCTGACCACTCTATTCTGTGGGCGTCCTTCCTGCTTCCACCTTCCCTTTCCAAACGCCTCCGCCTCCAGGGCTTTAATTTTCCTTCTGTGTGTGTGTCACGCAGAGGTTACGACTATTGCGCCAGTGCCCTTTATTTATTTATTTATTTTTATCCTGCGGAGGGTCCCAGAATTGCTCATCTCAAAAGAAGCATTGCATCCATTTGTTCGCGATGATCATAAACAGTGCCCTCTTAAGGGAGACTATTGGTCAACCCGTCTGCTGTGGGTAGAAAGACAGCGGTGGCCGCGGAACGAGGGCTCTGCCTCTTCAGAGCCTGCACAACCATCCTGCTTTCTTTCTTCAATATCTAGTAGGGGGGTTAATTTTAATAAGCCCTTGAAACCAACAAAGCAGGAAAGTTCAAAGACATTGAGTTGCGAGATTAAAATGACAACCAGCAGCCTCTCATTCTTCCTTCACTGGGGGTTGCCGCTTCGTTTTGGGGCTGCAGGGTATGTTTGGCAGCGACACTCACCTTTGTGCTGTGCGACTCATGAATTGAGATAGTTCTTACTAAGTGCTTTGTGCTGTAGGTATGAAAATGGGGAAAGAGGGAGCACTGTCCGGGTGGAGAGGCGTGGAGAGACGCTGTGATACATAGCAGGTCCTTTTCTTCTGGGCTCCTGGTTAAAATCTTTTTTTTTTTTTTCTAATAGCCTGACAGATGGTTTTTGTGTCTTTTTTTTTTTTTTTTTTTTTTTGAGACGGAGTCTGGCTCTGCCGCCCGGGCTGGAATGCAGTGGCCAGATCTCAGCTCACTGCAAGCTCCGCCTCCCCGGGTTTACGCCATTCTCCTGCCTCAGTCTCCCGGTAGCTGGGACTACAGGCGCCCGCCACCTCGCCCGGCTATTTTTTTGTATTTTTAGTAGAAACGCGGTTTCACTGTGTTAGCCAGGATGGTCTCGATCTCCTGACCTCGTGATCCGCCCATCTCGGCCTCCCAAAGTGCTGGGATTACAGGCTTGAGCCACCGCGCCCGGCCCTGGTTTTTGTGTCTTAATTAAAAGATTGAAGACTGTGGGCCAGACCCAAACTAATTCCATTGGCATCAGAGAGAAGGATTCTGTGCATATTTATCTATAGGCATAATTGATTTTTTTTTGGTCCAATTATCTGGTTAGTCAAATCATACATTACAGAAGTAATATTTAAAATTAAAAAACTAAAAATAAAAAATGTATCTGTAAACCTATCCCCCTTCCATTCCAGTCTTTGTCTCTGTGTAATTTAGAACCGTGAACCACGATGTACACAGAGTTTATACTCTTTTAATATCTTGCTACTTCATTGTTTTAATGTTTAATCTTTAGGTTGATGTATCACAGGTTGCTTGATCATTTCTTACAGGTGTTTGGTTTAGTTTTTTTTTTTTCCCCCTTTAACTCTAATGTAAATTTGAGTATTTGGCTGGTAGTTTTTGCAGGATTTAAGGCAGAGCCTCAGTTAGGGCCGCGGATCGATTTATGGTCCCTAGTTTGAGGAGGGAGGCGGCAATCTGCCCTTTCTTCTATAATTGATATGTTGAATCACAATGGACATTTACTTGATTTTGAGCACTTGGGACTCCCCTGGGGTTCACTGATATTGCAAGGTCAGGACTGGGGATCTCCTGCTGGAGAGGCCCCCAGCGTGCCCAGCGCAGGGTCCTGAGCGGGTTGCTGCAGGACAGAAGCCCTGGGCTTTGTCCTCCAGCAGCCATCACTCTGGGAAGGACTGGCTGCTCCAGGAATGAGGTCTATGCTCTGAAACCCACAGTCAAGCAGACCAGCAAAGGTCAGCACAGACGACCTTCTATGAATCATTCATTTAGCAAGCATTCATGGAATACACACTCCGTGCAGTTGGAACTTAGAGTGGAGAGCCATCAGCTCACTGTTGTCTGAGCAGAGCTTGGGTCTCTGGCTCCCTGTTGTAGCCTCCGCTCCTAGGAGGTGCACGGTGAGTGTTGGCGAACCCTCCACAGGCACAGTTGCCGAACAAGGACCCCTCCCAAGGGCGTCAGCCCTGGGCCCTGAGCTCTGAAGAGGAGGAAGGCATTCCTAGGGCCGACTTCCCTTCTGGATACTGAGCTCTGCACCGAGAGAAACTCTTCCACATTCACTGCGGTGAAGTTCCTAAAACAAATAGCACTTTAGAGTCTGGGGCCTCCATTCCCCGGAATTTCCATGGCCACAAGTGGTGGCTGCACCGTGCGACTGGAGTCTGCGTTCCCCAGAATTTCTGTGGCTGCAGGGGGTGTCTGCACCATGCGACTGGTGTCTATGTTCCCTGGAATTTCCGTGGCCAAAGGTGGTGACTGTACCATGTGAATGAGGGTCTGTGTTCCCTGAAATTTCCATGGCTATAGATGGTGGCTGTACCATGTGTCTGAGGGTCTGCCTTCCCTGGAATTTTTGTGGCCACAGATGGTAACTGTACCATGTGACTGAGGGTCTGCATTCCCTGGAATTTCTGTGGTCGCAGATGGTGGCTGTACCATGCAACTGGGGCCTGCATTCCCTGGAATTTCCATGGCCACAGGTGGTGGCTGCACCATGCATCAGGTCCTGTCTCAGGAGTTGGTGTCATTCTCTCTGTTACTCCCTCACCTGACACAGAGCGGCAGTTCCTGACCTTATCACTCCCAGGAAACACACAGGCATCGATTTTGGATCCTTGTTTTATTTCCCCATTACCTTTGTCATCAAAGGGAAATTCACATCCCTATGAAGCCGAAAATGGTGTGGGGCCCCCTGGTGGTCTTTCCAAGGCATTATCAGCAGGTAAACTAGACCGTATGGGCCAGTGTACCTGAAATGAAAACAGAAAGGTAAGTCGTGTCACTAAGCTTTGCTGGGAGATTCAGGGTCTTTGTCAGGGACAGAGCATCCAAAGTAAGTTGTTTGTTCACTGCAGATCTAACACGGTTAGCTGTGTCTGGATTAAACTTACCCAGTGTCGACAGAGTGTAGCTTAATCCTCACGGAAGGGTGTCAAGTACATTGAAGAATAGCTGCCGAGCCTGCTGTTGTCAGGAGAGGGGCAGGTGCCTCTCTCGCTTAGCCCAGTGCTGAAGGAGGCCGGGCTCACGTCAGGCCGTGCGTGTGAGCGAGCTGGATTTTTAGTACGCTGGGACGATAGAGCACAAACATCTATTTTTAACTTGTGGGTGACCTTCTTCTGTGCTGCTTGAGTCTCTGTGAACCTTTCTCTGTTTCCTTCCTGAGGAGTCTATGCCAGGGTCCCACGCGTTTTCTGGGCTGCACCTCAGCGCCTGCCCATCAGGAGCCTCCTCCTGGTGGCTGTGGGACGGGCTGGGCCCACACTTTCAGCATCGTCCGGGGTAAGCAAGCCCGTCCTCCACACCTCAGTGTCCCCAGCTGTTGAACAGGGCTAATCAACTGACCGTCAGGATTAATGGGGATCAGATGCGCTCATCTCATAGCCTGCTTGGTAAACAGCCACTTCCACTCTGTCCTCCAATGTGCTACTCTAGACTTTTCTTTACCTCCATTTAGCCAGGTGATTCGAGGTGACAGTGACTATCAAGAGGACGTACAGAGGAAATCAGTGGAGAGAGCTCGAGGAGCAGACATGGGTGCAGGGAACACATGCGGGGAGCACGGGTGCAGGGAACATAGGCATGGGGAGCACAGATAGGTGTGGGAGCATGGGCGTGGTGAGGACGGGTGCGGGGAGCACGGGTGCCCGGAGCACAGGTGTGGGGAGCACGGGTGCGGGGGCCATGAGAGCAGGGAGCACGGGGACCCGGAGCACAGGGTATGGAGAGCGTGTGTGTACTTACTCTGCTCTGACAGATGCTGCTGAGCACGTACTCAGTGATCAGATGGGTCAGAGCCTCAGTGCCTCTTTTTTAGAAAAATTATTTCTTTTTTTAAAGATAGGACTTCCTCTTCCTGGTGGCCCTTTTAGTCGATACTCTTTTAAGCCTGCTTTTCCAGAGGAAAGCTAGGAAGGATGGCCTATATAGGTCCCAGTCTGGGCATATCTGGAAGAATGACCTGTTTTAGGTTTGAGTCTAGCGTATCTGGGGACAACTTTGAACCTCCACTCAGAGTCCGAGAGCCACCTGTAGAGGCTCCCCAAATGTCTGCTGGGATTTTCCCCTCTGCTCGGGGATGATGAAGAGCAGAACCTCATCCTGCCACGACCTCTGGGGTCCTCCTTCCTGGAGGGCAGTGCCTTGGTGGCCAGTGTGTGTAAGAGGCTGGGCTGGCACCTTCGGGCTATGCTCTGCAGCGGGGGCTCATGACATGGGGCATTCTTGGGCTCTGCACCGGGACTGTTGACGTGGGGCATCCTCGTGCACTGTGGACCACAAGCGGTGCACATGAGCCAGACAGCTCCTGGAATTCGGAGCCTGATTCTACCTCAGGCCATCCACCTGTCTGTGGCACTTCTGGGGGATTGTGGGGACCATATGAGTCTGTGTCCCCACCCTCACTGGCTGGACACCTGTGCCAGGCTGGAGCTTTATGTGTCACCATGCCCTGTTCTGAGTTGTGTGAATATTTATTTTCATTACCTACTCTCATAAGCTTTCCTTTTTTTAAAAAAAAAATCAGAGACAGACTTTGAAGTCCCCCGGCCCCACCCTTTGTGGACCTAATGGTATTGCAGAAATTATGGCTTCAATTATGTGTAATAACTGGGGCTACTTTAAAAGTCATGTAAAGGAACAAGGTGGAGTGGCCATTTCAAGCAGTACATCATGCTGGATTTTTCAGTGAACTTTATCAGGCTTTCAACACATTTTCTCTTTTTATTTACTTTGCAGAATATAATGGGTGCTCAGAAGCTGTTGGAATTTAGTAACAGAAAATCATCCTTAAGGAGCTATTTAAGCAAGGGGACAGTTGGAGTAAATGTAAGTTATGAACACACACTTATTCCAAACCAGAGAAATAAAAGCATCAACTGTGCTGGGGTTGAAACTTGGTTGCTAGTGTGTCTTTCCTGCCCACAGTGACTGTGGCAGTGCTGTGGCCAGGAAATTCTGGAAAGAAGACTTGGTGCCAGTGGTAGTTTTTGTGACGATTCATTTGCTTTCAGCTCAAGTGACTATAGTCTAACTTGCAAATGGCTAGGTCTCCACCAATGGACCACGACATTGACATAGGACAAATGAGAAATGGCCCTTGGGTTTTTAACAATTATTATTTTAATGGACACATTATGGTACATATCCATGGGATACAGTGTGAAATTTCAATACATGTTTATCATGTGTAATTAGCAAATCAGGATAATTAGCATGTCCGTCTTCTCAAACATTTGTCATTTCTTAATGCTGGGAATATTTAAAATCCTCTCTTCTAGCTGCTTGAAAATATACAATAAATTATAAGCTACAGTCACCCTAAAGGCTATAGCACACTAACCTCATTTTTACTATCTAGATGTAATTTTGTATCCATTAGCCAACCTCTCCCTTTCTGCCTTCCCGCCGCCCTTTCCTGTCTCTAGAATCCACTGTTCTACCTTCAGAGGGTAGAATATCATTTTCCTCATAGAGATCTTTAACCCTGTTGGTTAGACTTCTTCTGAGGTATTTTTATTTTTATTTTATATTTTGGTAACTAAATTGGATTGCTTTCTTGATTTCTTTTTCCACTGGCTCATTGTTAGTCTATAGAAATGCTACTGACTTTTATATGTTTATTTTGTATTCTGTAACTTTACTAAATTTGTTTATCGGTTCAAAGAGATTTTTGCTGGAGCCTTTTTTTTTTTTTTTTTTTAATATATAAGAGCATATAGTCTGCAAACAGACAATTAGAGTTTCTCCTGTCCACTTTGGGTGCCCTTGATTTCTTTCTCTTGCCTAACTGCTCTTGACTAGGACGTTCAGTGCTGTGTTGGATAGGAGTGGCACAAGTGGGCGTCCTTGTCTTGTTACAGGTGTCAGAGAAAAAGCTCTTAGTATTTCCCCATTCACCATTATGTTAGCTGTGGGTTTGTCACATATGGCCTTTATTGTGTTGAGTATGTTTCTTTCAGTGCCTCGTTTGTTGAAACTTTTTATCATGAAGCAGCGTTGAATTTTATCAAATGCTTTTTCTGTATCTGTCGAAATGATATGGTTTTTGTCCTTAATTCTGTTGATGTGATGTAGCGTGTTTATTGATTTGTGTTTGTTGAGCAATCCTTGCATCCTGGGATAAATCCCACTTGATCATGGTGTATAAACTTTTTGATTTACTGTTGGATTCAGTTTGTTAGTATTTTGCTGAAGATTTTTGCATCTGTGTTCATCAGGGGTATTGACCTATAGTTTTCTCTTTTTATTGTGTCCTTGTCTTATTTTGGTATCAGGGTAATGCTTGGCTTGAAGAATGAACTTGGCAGAATTCCCTCCTCTTCAATATTTTTGGAATAGTTTGAGAAGAATTGAAATAAAAATTTGTAGAATTCAGTTGTGAAGCCACCAAGTTCTGGGGTTTTCTTTGTTGGGAGACATTTTATTATTATATAGTCATACGTGTTACTCATTATTGGTCTGTTTAGGATTTCCGTTTCTTCTTGGTTCCATCTGGGTAGGTTGTACATGTCCAGGAATTTATCCATTTCCTCTAGGTTTTCCAATCTCTTGACATACAGTTGTTAAAAATAGTTTCTAATGATCCCTTGTATTTCTGTGGTATCAAATGTGATTCTCCTTTTTTGTTTCTAATTTTATTTATTTGGGATTTCTTTTTCTTTCTTAGTGTAGCGAATGGCTTGTCTATTTTATTTATCTTTTCAAAAAACCAACACTTTTTTCTTCATCGTTTATATTTGTTAGTTTCCATATTATTTACTTCCTCTTTGATCTTTGTTATTTCTTTTCTGCTACCACTTCTGGATTTGATTTGTTCTTGCTCTTCTAGCTCACTGCAGTTCATTGTTAGGTTGTTTATTTTAAATCTGTTTTTTAAATGTAGGAGTTTATTGTTATAAACTTTCCTCTTAATACTGCTTTTGCTGTATGTCATAGGCTTTAATATGTTGTGTTTCTGTTTTCAATTATTTCAAGAAATTTTTAAATTTCCTTCTTAATTTCTTCATTGACCCATTGGCTATTCAAGGGCATATTGTTGAATTTCTATGTATCTATACAGTTTTGAAAGTTCTCCTTGTTGTTGATTTGTTTTTTGTTTGATCGTTTATTAAACTTTATGTTCTAAGGTACATGTCCACAATGTGCAGGTTTGTTACATATGTATATATGTGCCAAGCTGGTGTGCTGCACCCATTAACTTGTCCTTTAAATTAGGTATATCTCGTAATGCTATCCTTCCCCCCTCCCCTCACCCCACAACAGGCCCCGGTGTGTGATGTTCCCCTTCCTGTGTCCAAGTGATCTCACTGTTCATTTCCCACCTATGAGTGAGAACATGCGGTGTTTGGTTTTCTGTCCTCGCGATAGTTTGCTGAGAATGATGGTTTCCAGCTGCATCCGTGTCCCTACAAAGGACATGAACTCATCCTTTTTTATGGCTGCATAGTTATGCCATGGTGTAAATGTGCCACATTCTCTTAATCCAGTCTGTCATTGATGGACATTTGGGTTGCTTCCAAGTCTTTGCTATTGTGAATAGTGCCACAATAAACATAGTGTGCATGTGTCTTTATGGAAGCATGATTTATAATCCTTTGGGTATATACCCAGTAATGGGATTGCTGGGTCAAATGGTATTTCCAGTTCTAGATCCTTGAGGAATCGCCACACTGTTTTCCACAATGATTGAACTAGTTCACAGTCCCACCAACAGTGTAAAAGTGTTCCTATTTCTCCACATCCTCTCCAGCACCTCTTGTTTCCTGACTTTCTTTCTTTCTTTCTTTCTTTCTTTCTTTCTTTCTTTCTTTCTTTCTTTCTTTCTTTCTTTCTTTCTTTCTTTCTTTCTTTCTTTCTTTCTTTCTTTCTTTCTTTCTTTCTTTCTTTCTTATTATTATTATACTTTAAGTTCTAGGGTACATGTGCATAACGTGCAGGTTTTTTACATATGTATACTTGTGCCATGTTGCTGTGCTGCACCCATCAACTCGTCAGCACCCATCAACTCGTCATTTACATCAGGTATAACTCCCAGTGCAATCCCTCCCCTCT